AGATGTGGGCTCAGATGAAGAGGATGATACTGGAAAGGATAAGAAAAAGAAAACCAAGAAGATTAAGGAGAAATACATTGATCATGAGGAACTGAACAAGACCAAGCCCATTTGGACCAGAAACCCTGATGACATCACTCAGGAGGAATATGGAGAGTTCTACAAAAGCCTCACCAATGACTGGGAAGACCATCTGGCAGTCAAGGTGAGAAGTATTAGGTGTCAGGTTGGAGATGAAACACCTTGCTTAGTTGCATAGTGACTGAGGTGTAAAAGGTATGGAGCGCCCCGCCCCCTGCCTAAGTTTACATCCCTGTCATAGTGAAGGGTGTCTGACCTCCCCAGTAACTGGGTTTTTCTCCTGCTAGAAGTCTGGGTGGCATGGTGCCTGTGGTGGTCTGCCTGTGGAGGGCTGTGATCTAATTTTTTAAGTTCAGCCAAGGACTGTATACAGTCTTGATTGGTTTGAAAGAGTACAGTTTTTTCAAGAGCTCCTCTAGTGTTAGGAGAGGGAGGGTCACTGTTCCATCACACTTGTCCCTAAAGTCATCTTGGGTTTGTTTCAGCACTTCTCTGTGGAAGGTCAGCTGGAATTCAGGGCATTGCTCTTCATTCCTCGGCGGGCTCCTTTTGACCTATTTGAGAACAAGAAGAAGAAGAACAACATCAAGCTATATGTCCGTCGTGTGTTCATTATGGACAGTTGTGATGAGTTGATCCCCGAGTACCTAAGTGAGTATCTTCTGAGGTTGGAGCAGTGAGGTGGGCTTTGAGGTCTGGAGTAGTCTCCTGGGAGTAAGTCTAGACCGTTAATGGTTCTCATCAACGTAGCAAGTAGGGACAGGCAAGCAAAAGGGCCTTATGTTTGGGCCTGTGTGACCACATCTGGTCCAGCTGTTATTTATTGAGCTTTTTGCCCTGGTTGCTCTCAGATTTTATCCGTGGTGTGGTTGACTCAGAGGACCTGCCCCTAAACATCTCCAGAGAAATGCTCCAGCAGAGCAAGATCTTGAAAGTCATCCGCAAAAACATTGTTAAGAAATGCCTTGAGCTCTTCTCTGAGTTGGCAGAAGACAAAGAGAACTACAAGAAATTCTATGAGGCATTCTCAAAAAATTTAAAGCTGGGAATCCATGAGGACTCCACTAATCGGCGACGCCTTTCTGAACTGCTGCGCTATCACACCTCTCAGTCTGGAGATGAGATGACATCCCTGTCTGAGTACGTGTCTCGCATGAAGGAGACACAGAAGTCCATCTACTATATCACTGGTAAACCTCACTGGGTCTGAGTAAAGCTGCCCTGGCAAGCAGGGTGGGGTGGATGGATCTGGACCACCTGGGGCTGGCAGGGTGAGGCCTTTCAGTGCTTGAGTCCCATCTGCTAACCCTAGGCGAGAGTAAGGAACAGGTGGCCAACTCTGCCTTTGTGGAGCGCGTGCGGAAACGGGGCTTCGAGGTGGTGTACATGACTGAGCCCATCGATGAGTACTGTGTGCAGCAACTCAAGGAGTTTGATGGGAAGAGCTTGGTCTCTGTGACCAAGGAAGGCCTGGAGCTG